CTTTAGACTTCCTTTGCGAGGGTATCCTGTTTGGCTTCCAGCTGCCTTGCCAGAAGCAAGGAGGCCTCACAGGAATCCTGTGCTTGAGTCACTGCCCTATGAGGATGGCTTAGATGCCCAGAGTCATCTGAAATGGCATCTGCATCCCACCCAGTGTGAAGCTGGGGCTGAATTCCTCTGTGGGTGTCTGCAGGGAAGATATTTCCATCAGAGCTGCACACTCTGGGTTTCCTTAATAGTCAGTGGAAAGGGATACAGATTACTCTAGATGGTTACTTCTAGGACCAGAAGAATTATGCCTTAAGGGCTCTCATTTCTCTGCTTCACTATAAAGTCCCTTTTGCTGACATACGGATATTTGCAAGTAGTTGGGCAAAATTCATCCGTATTGTCTATTGTGAGACTGACAAGACATCTGGCTGCTAGTGGGCCCTGCCCTCTTCCCTGAACCATTCATTTTGTCCTTGGCTACTGCCTTTCTTTCTTTCTGACCACATGTTTTGTGTTAGCGTGATACGTTCATCCTTCAAATATAGCATTGCAGTGGGGTTCTCATCACACTCGCTAGGACGAGGTTGTCCTTGGCAGAGCTGGAATGACCAAAGCAGCACAATGTTGGAGCTGTTGGTACTGCCAATTCCTGCTCAGTCTTTGCTCATGTATGTGTATATGAGAGTGGGGGGGAAGGAGGAAGGGAGAATGAGGGAGAAGGAGAGAGAAAAAGACGGCCGCACCCGGCAGCACCCTTTTCGCAATGACTGGCCAGAGCTTTGCACCTGCTGACAGCTCACACAGGTCTCACAGGTAGATGGGAGACCACCACAGAAATGCCAGTTTGGGTTTACCTCCCTCTCTCTCGGTCCACTTGTAAGTGTTGACCTGCATGGCAGGGGCTTCAGTGTCTTGGTGACCACCCCACCTCTGATGGGGCCTGAAGTCGAGCAAAGTTGCCATGTGGAGGTGCTTAGCTCTTTCCTTGAAGTGAGATTTCCATGGAAGAGCTTCATGATGCACTGAAATTATTGCTGCGTTAGTCTCATAATTCCCATGGTGTTTTACTCCTAAAGTATGGGCACAGACTATATGAAACATGAAAAAAGAAAAAGGGTGTTAAAGATGTTACTGTAAAGAAATCAGACAACCAAAGTTATGGCAGTAGTTTCTTCTAAGTCAAACAACAATTTTAGGTTGTTGCTTCTAAAATAGATTCAGTATATTTCTTCAGACAAAGAAAACTCTTTAATGAACTACTTCTAATTTTGTAATGGTATAAATATGCATGTCTATATTTGCAGCTAGGCCTTTCCATGCACAGTCAGCAGGTGTGTCTGGGAAGTATCATGGAAATAAGAACCCTGTGCACAGTGAAATGCCATGGCTAGGTCCTTAGAGAAATGCCACACAGTTGGTGTTCAAGCTTAGTGCCATTCTTGCTATAATGCTTGTCAGAAGATCATGCTGCAAGTCTACCCCATGGCAGACGTAGGAGAATATTCCCTTACAAATGTGCCATTTTGTGCATATGCACTGAAGCCAGCATCCTTTTTTACCTATAGCTTTTCTTCTTTTCTTGTGCCTCTTAGAACATCACAGTTCCCCTTTACCATTGGGTATTTTTGGGGCTTTAGATACTTTCAGGGCAATGGTTCTTGAGAAGGGGAGGTGGGAAGTCTTTGGTGAACACTGGTGAATCTCACGATGAAGGAAAACACTGAATAGGAAATGGAGACAGTCTTTTCCCAGGAAATGCAGCCAGCAGCTTGGTTGATGCCCCAGCCGAGGCCATGTCTGCCAGCTGTCTAAGCATATCCCACACAGAGGGCAGTTTCTGCCTCTGTCCCCTCTACAAGGCAGCTCCAACCCTGTGCTCTGAAGGCACCTGTTTGGCGGGAGACAAGGGTGCAGGCGGAGTGCTTTGCAGAGCTGGAAGGATGGGAAGGTTCTGCTAGGCAGGAGGGGGTTATGTGTATTTGCAGACCAGCACTGGAGCAGCAGCCAGTTATGGGTGTCATTCACGTGGGGAGGGCATTAGGGTCCCTCTGCTTTCTTCCCAGGAGCCTAATGTGTGGGACACCCTGAGCATCAATGTTTATGTATGTCAAACTAGTGTCTCGGGGCCCCTCTGCCATCAGCATGGTGGGGCTCTGCTCTCTCACCTATCCCTCACCCACTCCCTGATGCAATGGGAGGAGCTGAGCTGCAACCCACGGGATTCAGACATCCCCCCTCTGCCGTGCAGGACTGCACCTCACCATGCAGACATGTGCTGTGTGAACCTGCTCTCAGCACAGGTGTGGTGTCTTCCCTAGGGTTTGTATTAGAAGTGAGAGTGAGTGAGGGCCCTTACTGCTCTTCTCCTATCTCGGGCAGACTTCGTGCTAGCACATGCTTCCAAAGCTTGTTGTCTAGGGTTTTTGCCAGTTCAATTAACCCTGCTCCTGGAGCCCTTCTTAAATCTCCTTACCCCTATGGTGTTGTTTCTGAGACAATAATATTAGGGATCAGTGAGAGCAGGGCTGCTTCATGAGGGGGCTACAAGCTGGGAGCTGAAGGTGAACCCAGGGCAGAAAATGACCTCACTGATGGGGCACAATCCCACAGGGTCTGATCCAGCTGAGCAGAGCAGGGAGCTGGTAACAGGGTCCATTCACAGTCCCACACAAGGCAAGGGGATGAACCAGGTCCAGGGTCCATCCAGGAGGCCCAGTTAGGAGCAGCAGGAGATTCGGCCAGAGACAAGAATGGAAACAACACAACAATATGGGTCCAAGTTGTCACGGTTCATTGTGATTTCTCAAATTTACAGGAGAGCATACTGTGTGAAACAAACTTTATTTTTAACAAGCTCATTAAATAAAAAAAAAACAATAAGCAAACAAGCAAACAAGGGGTTAATTCCTTCTCTGTAGACTAGTATAAATTGTTAATTCTCTAGTTACTTAATTCGCTAGTTCGTTGATTAATTAACTTGATAATTTGTTAATATCATGCACTTATGAACAAAATAGTTACTAGTCTGACGGTGAGAGTGCTCATCCTTCCTCTACTGTCATGATGTGGGTGTCCTCTGAATTGCATGGGGAAGCACGAGAGCCTCAGCCATCCAGCTGTTGGTGAGTCTGCTTCAAAGGCTGTTTGGGTAAGCTGAAGTGTTTGTACCTTCCAGCTTGGAAAGTTTGGTCTATACCATCCCTATTGGTCGTTTCAGTCGCTGGGCAAGGATTCACTTAATTGCAAAGAGTTTTGGTCTTATCAGGTTTTAACAAGCAGTTCCTTCCTTCTAAAACTGCAAGGATAGTGGACTTCATTCTTTTTTGTCCTTGAGTATCTGGCATACGTGTTGCTCTTGCTTTAGCCTAATGGCACTGCTCACAGCATGCATCAGGCCTCAGCATGATCGGTGTGTTAGGACCCAAAGCTTGAGCAGGAGTCAAGTGAACACAAGTGCCATCTGGGAAATAGGGCCAGAGACAGGGCTGGAGAGAGGTACACCTACAACATAGCTCAGGGAAGGACTGAGGTCTCAGGTGAGGCTGGTCAGGTCATGTCAACACCAGAAAATAACTCCCAAGGTTGAGCACAGCAGAAAAGAACATACTAACAGGAGTGCCACATCCTGAGGACCTCATTATCACCGCCTAAGAACAGGATAAACACAAGATGAAACCATTCATGAATAGCGAGGTATTTCCAGGGGAAGAACACAGATCTCGAAGGGCTGCACAGACACCACTTGTGCCACAGGCACAGCCACCACTTGTGCCTTCCCTCCTCCCCACCCCACCCAGCACAGCAACACCATGGAATAAGCCAGAAGGTCTCCAAGAAGGGAAACAAGGGCAGGCAAAGGAGAGCAACACCTTCCCTGGCAGGAGCTGCTCTGCAGAGCAAGTGGGACATCCCCAGCTGGGGAAGAGAAGACAAAGACCTCTGAGTGAGGTCTGTATGTTCTTGTGGGAGAAAAAGAGTGAATACTTCTTCCTTGCTTCGTATCCTACAAGGACACGGTGTGAAAAAAAGAAATATTCTGGGGGCAGGCTCATAACATGGCCCTGGGGACTTTCTCGTGCAGCCAGTCACTGCCCATGGAAATCCCAGCTGTGGGATGCTGAGGGTGCCAGATGCATGCGAGAGACCCAGACCCTGCCTGCTGAGTTCAAGGGAGAAAGATCCCCGGGACATCTTCTTCACAGAGGTATGTGCATGGCCAAGGAGATGCGGAGGTGCGGGGCCTGGCAGACCACAAAAGATGGCCTGCAAACTGGCCCCCAAGCTGTGCTGCTGGGGCCGAAAGCCGCCTGGAGTAAGCCGCCCAGCCACTTGCCTGCTCTTTACCCCAGCAGAGGGGAGCTGCAGTGGAGAAGCCCCATGCCAGGGTGGCAGGGTGGGCACAAAGAGCAGCAGATGCTGCTCCCTGGGCCCGAGGGAGGTGACCACAGCCAAATGCTAATCCAGCTGCATTTCTGCTTCCTCCTGGCAGAGCTTACCTCCAGTTCTTGCTCAGCCTTTCACTTTAGCACAGGGACAGCAGCATCAGGAAGAGGCGATCCCCCTCTGGTGATCCACCACCACTGCCATGTGTTGGCATTGTCCCTTTCACCCTCCCTGAAACCTCGTTTTCCCAAGTTGGCCAAAGCTCCGTGAGAGCCTTCCTATGAATGTGCCTGGCTTCTCTTGAGCAAGAGAGTCCCAAGAAGACCACAAAGGCTTGTTTACTGGCAGAGGAAAGCCAAAGTTTATTAGGCAAGGACCAGGACCAGGACTGTGGTTGCAATGGGGGATACAGGCAGTGCTTGGGCCCAAGTCCAGCAGAGCAGCACAACACCAGGCTTGTGGCCTTGTCCCCATACCATGCTCCCCTTGCTCAGCAGTGCTTGCTCCCCCAGCTTTGGTCACCTCCCTGGCAGCAAGTGGGGTGCCAAGCATCTGTAGGGTTCTCCGTTCCTTCCTGGGCTGCCTGTGGAGCTCAGCAACTCCACTCCTGCCTTACCAGCAGGGATCTATACTGTGGTCTCCACTGCAGTGTCTCTGGGGCCTCGGCTGCTCTCTTCACACATTACTTTCTCTGCAAACACTCGGTGGAAGGCGTCTTTCACAGGGCCCTGGAACCGACGCTGACGGTAGCTCCCAACCAGGAAGTAAATGATGGGGTTGATGCTACTGTTTAGAGACGCCATCAGGTAAGAAATATGAGTGTAAAATATATTTAAAGGAATTATAGACTCTAGGAACATCATCGCACTTAAAGGAAACCCAAAGGCGAAGAAGAAGATCACATTGAGCAAAATGGCAACATAGAGTTTCCCGGGGTGACGCCTCTGTGAGCCGTATCGAAGTTTGATGAACAGGGTCAGGTTGGAAAGGAATGGGAAGAAGGAGAAGATGAGGAAATTCACAATGCCTATGTTTTGAAATATTTTTTGACAGCTAATATTAAAGAAGGCATAACAATTAAGAAGAACTAAGCAAACTAGAAGTCCAGAAAAAGCCCAGAGCACCCCACAGATAACAGCTGACAAGCACTTTGGGCGATGGCATCGGTACCAGATTGGGAATAAAACAGACAGACACCTCTCCATGCTCACTGCTGTCAGGAGATACATGCTAGTAAAGTACCACAAGAGAAACAGATATATCAGGAGATATGTGGAAAAGATATATAATCGAGAACAAGAAATTGCTATAGTAATGTATAGTGAAAATATAACAAGAAGAAAGAGGAGCAAAGAGAAGTCGGCGATGGCCAGATTCAGGATGTAAACAGTGAAAGGGCTCTTCTTCATGTGAAAGCCCAGGAACCACATGACCATCCCGTTCTCCACTAGCCCACACAGACAAACACCAATAGTGACACTCAAAATTAACAGCAGTCTGTAGTCTCTTATTATGCACTGAGATTCTTCAGTTCTCTGAGAGTTTGTATATCCTGTGGCCGTGTAGCTCAGAGAAAGGGCTGTTGTGTTGGTGCCCAACATGGTGAAGCCCCTGCTGTTGGTGGCTGTCTCGTTGCTCTCCCTTCTCCCGCCACCTCCTAGGAGAGATGAGGAAGGAGAGGGGAAATCAGGGGCATCTGTGCTCCCAGCAGCTGCCTTCCCCCCCCCAAAAACACCCTTGCCTGCCCCCCCCCCCCACTCCCCCACACCAAGCCCCAGGCTGGGGTGGGAAGGACCACCTTCCCCCGTGAGTGCCCAGGGAAGGCCTGGAGAGACCCAGCCCTAGGCTGCAGGGAGAGGTGGAGACAGGCTGGAAGTCCGGGGCCAAGGGACATCTGGGAGAAAGAGAGAGATGGAGAGCATTGGGGATGGAGTGGAATCACTAGAAATAGGGGACGTCAAAGAGGAGGTGTCCTGGAGTGGGCACTAAGGACAAAAACATCATTGAGCAAAGCTTCCCTTCCTCCCACCCATGCCTCATGCCCTAGCAAAGAGGCTGGGGACAGCCTCTCTCCTGCCTCCGTGGCACCCCCAACCACTCCAGCCCTGTTCCTGGCCAGCTGGCATTGCTCACATGCCCATCCCTTGCTTCCTACCTTCTGGCACTCCTCGGAAATGCCCGCTCCCCTCGGGAGCACCAGTGCATGGGGCGGGGGTCCTCCCCCGTGCCAGCACCCCCCAGGAGAAATGGGCAGGTCACGGCAGCCAGGGCCACCTGGCTCTGCTTCTGCCTCCTCTCTGGCACCCGAGCAGGAAACCCTTGGTCAAAGATTACTTTGCGTGAGCAGAAGACTCTCCTCACAATCTCATCACATCACTGACAACTTCCCCTCACATGTCCTATGTCCAGTGATCTTGTCAGTAAAAGTTGGCCACATCAATCTCTTCTTCTTCTCCTCCTTTCTTCCAGCTTCATCTCTCCATGTCAAGGGCTTCTGGGTTTAGCTGTGTTGTAAACGGTGCTAACAAATGTGTTTGGATTGCACTCTGTACACAACAGGTAAAAATGGTTTTTGATAGTGTGAGATATGGTCTTTAGCAAGCTATTTCCTTTCAGGGGTCAGTTTCAAAAGAACAATAATCCTGACGAGCTAGGAAACCATTCAGTGTTCAGAAAATGTAAGGCTAAGTCGGTGTCCAACCTTGCACAGCCTAGAAAGGACATTCCCCGATAGGATTTGGCTGCTTTTCCTGGAAAGGGCGTTCTGAATGTGGGTAGCCAAGAGAAACCTTCCAATAAGAATTGTAATTAGTTGTTGAGCTATGTAGGGACTGTGTGGCCAATCTGCTTTAGGCCAGTTTCCATAAGGATGCAATTCAAACTACAGGGTTTCTTGGGGGAAAAATGCAAAAAACTGCTGGCTCAAGTCTCTGCTTCTTTCTGTAGTTATTGCTCCACTGCCTTTCTCCCTGCCTCACCCTCCAGCACTCTCCTCCCTGCTCTTCCATATCCTTGTATCCTTACACAGCTGATAAAGATCCCCGGGAGGGGATAAGCTGCAACTTATAACAGTCCAAATTCCTGACCAGTTCACTGCCAGGGCAGATGTACTCACGCTTTACTAAGCTGAACAGGCAAAGCAGAAAAATAATATCTGTATTTTTAAGTTTTGTGTAATTTCGTCATCTTAGATAGTATTAGCATATTACTTCCCCTCTCAGATCACATCTGTTCTTTTAAGGAGAAAAGAGAGCTAGTGGCCTACTGAGGATTACCTCTGACATGACAGATGACATGGAAAGTGTACAGGAGACCATGCAGTCAGCTTTGGCCCCAGCTCTCTATTTGGCTGAAAGTCTTGCATTAACTCTACTAGCCCATTTTACTGCGGGGACGTGTCACACTATTTGAGAGATAAGCTCAGGGTGAGATGTTGTCCTTGATGGGCTGATCCCGCCTGTATTCTCCAACACCTTGTGCCTCCCTCTGTGATCCTCTAAGAGATGTTTGGATTACTTTCGGCCAGGATTTCACAGGGCTCCCACAGAGCTTTGGAGCAGATGCTGGGGGAAAGGGGACTGCCTGGTGTGTGCCTTCCTCAGCTGCCCCTGCAGGCTCTTGTGAGTCTGATAGAGCTTCACCGCCTCCCCAGGGCCCTCCCCAGCTTGCTGCTTTTTTACAGAAGTCCTTTTGGCCTGCAAGGGGGATTGGCTATACCCAGCAACCTTTCTCAGCAAATCAGGTGGTTGACCCATTGCACCTCCTGCTCCCTCCTTTGCAAGGTCAGGGCTACCCAAGCTCTCTTCTATCTCAGGTGGGAATTTCTCATTCTTCCCTTCTCTCTGCCCTGAAGAACTTCCTACACAGTCCTGTGTCCCGCAAATGGTGGGAGTTTTGTGGCAGCAGGGGGAAATCTTGTCATTATTTCCTTAGGATTCCTTCTTTTAAACTCTGACACACCCACGTCCCTTTTTTCATTTGTATTCCCACAACCTCCACCCTTCCTCTCCCTGAATCGCTTCCTTTTTCAGGGAAAGCTTTCAGTTTGTGGCTGGATTGAGTTTGGCCTTTTCCTTGTGGTTAGCCCACAGGGATAGCATCCAGGTACACACCTGGGGAAAAGCACTGAAGCAGAGGAAAATATATATCCCCATATAGTTCTCCCTTCCTTCAGTACATCGTGTTCATTCTTTCTTTCCTGTTTCTTTTGGAAAAACTAATTTTTTTTTTTAATAAATTGAGGGGTGGCGAGAGACCCCTTTTGTGTTTTATTGACAAAAATAATTGTTTTCAAAATTGTTTTTGACTGGACACTTTTGACAATCCATGATCTATGCAATGGCTTCAGGAGCAAGAAAGTCGATGGAGAAGGAGCTGAGATTTTTGCTCTCAGTTAGCATAAAGGCTGAAAACAAGAATCAAAGACCAGGCTGATACATTTTAAAATGGGATTTAATAAATTTAGCAACCAAGGACAGTGACAGTAAGCAGAGTTAGAAAGCTATGCAGCTGCTTCTCATGCCATATTGTGCAGGAGTTTAAATGAAGAAAGGGCATTGGAACATGGCCTAATATAGGGGACTAGCAACACGACTTGGGGTAATCCTGAATTAAAACCTTATATTCAGTTCTTTTCCTCCTGATATCTAGAGTCCAACGGTTTGAAGGAATCCTCATGGTCTTCCTCTCTTTCCTTTTCTCTTCAATGTAGAAGGTGTTCAGGCAAAAGAAGGGATGAATTCAAGAGGACATAGTTATTGTTTCATGGGTTTCCCGTTCATCTTTGTCATCTGCTGAATCTTCAAAGGCCCTCTGGAAGGCCAGCTTGAGAGTGAGCCGAATCCGCCGATCCCTGTAGCTGCCCACAATGAAGTAAATAACTGGATTGAGGCTGCTATTGACGCAGGACAGCACAAAGCCAATCTCTGGGGAGTAGAGAAACTTATAGCCCCAGAAGTCAAAGAGGATCAGGATGCTCAGAGGAACAGCAAAAATGAGGAAGAAGAGGACGGTGAGCATAATCACGGTGAAGAGCCTGCCTGTTCGGAGGTGCTGGGAGCTGCACTTGACTTTGAGGAAGAGGGTGAGGCTGAACACCAGCATGAGGGGCGTGCAGAAGAGGAAGTCCAGGACTCCGATGGTGATGAGGAGTACGTGGCAGCTGCCCGAGGGGCGAACAGTGCAAGAAAGGTAGCCCAAGGTGTTCAGCAGCAGGGAGAGGCTCCAGAGCAGGCCGGAGATGACGCCGGACAAGTGCTTTGGGCGATGGCTTCGGCACCAGATGGGACAGAGGACAGACAGGCACCTCTCAATGCTGATGGCCGTCAGGAGATACAAGCCGGTCCCATACATGAAAAGATCCAGGAAGAGGAATATCCCAAACTGCACCCCCACGTTGAACTGCATCAGGTACTGAACCGTTTCGATGGCAATGCAGAGCAGGTACCCAAAGTCAGCGGCGGCCAGGTTCAGGATGTAGACGGTGAAGCGGTTCCTTCGGATGCGGAAGCCGAGGTACCACAGGACCATGCCATTTCCCACCATCCCACAGGCAGAGCTGATGAGGCAGAAGCTCTCCATGAACTTGAGGACGGCATATGATGGCTCTGCCTTTTGCCCTGTCCCACTGTAATTAGCCCCATGAG